GGTAGTCAAGCCTTATTGTTTTTGTCCTTGGCAAAATTCCAACAATGTTTTATTTTAAATTGTTCCTACATTATCTTCAGTTCTCTTTGTATTCTCAATGTAGACAATTGATTACCATTGTCAAAAAATTCTCAGATGTGTTATTGTCTGTGGTTTGTAAAGGTGTTCAGTAGCTTCTAATCCTCCATCTTTCACATTGCTCACTGACGTAATCTACATCATACTGAGCTGAATTCGCAATGCTGACTTTCTTAATTTGGGCAGTTTTATTAGGCAAAGTGATTTGCATACATAACAAGCTGGCCCATACAAATCAGCTAGGCCATTTGTGCTTGTATTTTCACTCTTGTCAATAAGGCATTAGCAAAAAATTCAAGTATGTCACAGTCGCTTCCTTTTATGCTAATGAGGTAGGTTGCTACTTGAGTCTTTACTTGCCGGGAGCTACCCAGTCCTCACTTGCTTGTCTTGACAGAGTTCAAATGCCTTATGGGTGATGAATTATTTCCTACCTTACAACACCCTTTACTACAGACAAACCATTGCAAGCCTTTTGCTACTCTATCATTATTTCCATGGTATGTATTCTGACAAGCTACATTCTTTAGTTCGACCATCCTTGACCTTTACAACTAGGACAACATACACGAGAGTGAATCATTCCCATTCCCTTCATATTCCTATAGTAAGAAGTGCCATTCAGACAGCATCTTTCCAATAACTGCTGCACTGAGGAACAGACTCCTGGCAGGATGTTTTCCCAATCTTGACCTCTTCAAGTTTAGGGCTAACTGTTATATTCTCTGCATAGCCCCATGAACTTCACTTGCCTCTTTTTACACTCATACAACACCACACTGTAACCCTCTGTCTTGAGTTACTCTTGGACTTTGTATTAGGTAAACAATAGTCTCTGTGTGTGTGCATATATATATATATATATATAATATGTATACACACACACACACATACAAATTTCATTAAAAACGATCAACAAGGTACTGCAGTTGAGTTTTTTATTTAATTTTTCTTGTGTTATAATTTTCTTCTTTTCTGGACATAAAGTATGTAAAAACTTAAAATTTAATCACAGTACCTTGTCAGTCATTTTTAATGAAACTTGTATAAAAGAGGGATTGCTGCCCAAATACACACACTATACATACATATATATATATATATATATATATATATATATATAAAATCCTTGTTGCACAATGATTCTCTTTAGACTTGTAATTTGGTTGTTTAGATCACATTATTTTTACTTTGGCTTTTCTCATCGGTCTCTTCATAATTTTTTATTCCATCTATAGGTTTATATTATTCTCATATTTTATAAGTGTTATCTTTTCTCAATTTACCTGTTGTATACTGACATTGCTTGCCTCAAGGATCAAACACATGACTTCCAGATGAGACGGTTGACTTGCCCTATTTTATGTTGAATTTTTCAGCCTTCAAAGGTTAAAATACTCTTCTTTTTTTTTTTTTTATTTATATGGTATTCACTCCGTACTGATATATTGTGTAAATAGAACTGTTGTATCCTATATACAGGTAGCTGTATTCTTTAGTTACAGAACCATTTTATAAGATATACATTGTTATTTGTCTGATCAAACTAGAGATAGATTTGATAACATGTTTAATGGTCTCACTGCATCTACAGGAATAATCATGTCACTTGTCTTATGAAGTAAGAAGATAGTCAAGCAGGGAACCACAAAATCGAATGTTGGAGAGCTTAATCAAACATTATTATTTAAAAATCTGATTCTATATTTTCTTTATCTCAAAAAATGAACATTTTTTATGGTCTTTTATCCTTCTGTAAACATTGTTTACTTTTCATATGTCCTCATTTTCTGGAATGAGACTTATAGAATTTTTTCTCATATATGATTTCTATAAAGATTTTAGAAGATAATGTTAAAAAAAAACGAAAATAAAGTTTTCTGATTTATTTTAAAAATTAAGAGTAGTAATGATTTTAGACAATTATAAAATCAATAATGTTGATTATGATGATTATAAGCACTTCTGGTCCCACTAAGGAATACTTGGAGGAAAACTAATCCAGCGGAGAGTTTGAAGAAATCTCAAAAAGTTATTACCAAGATGGCCTGATTTCATATAGATCAGAGAGAGACAAAAAGGCAAAAACCAGAATAGAAAAGAATTTTAACAGATTCCATGGTGCCAGAAATTTACCAACTTTAAAAAGCAGAGATAGAGTTAGAATAAAATTAAATAGAGAAATACTGGAACACTGAAGAAACGATTAAGTCATCAGACACTGACGACAGGTCGTATATTGTGAGAACTAATCAAGGGGATTATGTTTCGAAAATAGACTTTTGAGAAATAAACCAATTACTGATCATTATAAGGATCTTCAAAGAAATAATAATACAAAAGAGAGTACTGGAAAAACAAGGCAAGAACGAAAAATACAAACTGCAAAATATCTGTTTGATATCACAAAGTGAATGAGTTATCGCCCTTGGACTGTAACCAAAACAAATTTTGATTTGTAACTATTTATCTTGTAATTTAGAAAAGTTAGAAATAAATTAATGAAGAAAATAAATTACCATAGGAATTGGGATGTTATAACAACATCAATAATGTTGATTATGATGATTGTAAGCACTTCCGGTCCCACTAGGAAATACTTGGAGAAAGATGGATCCAGCAAGGAATTTGTATAAATAAGATAAGTTTACCATGTCTTATGTCGTCTTTGTGTTGCTTTGACTTTTCAGTGGCCAGTCTCATATATCTTTCCAACCTTAAGCCCAGTGGAATATAGACAAATGATACATCTCCTCTCACTAGCATTGTCACAGATTGAGACCAAGGGGGCAAATATAGGCTGGTTTAGTTTTCAGTTTAGCAAAGATGGAGAGGCTTCAAGCCACCCATCCCATCACCATAGAGGATTATTATATTATTTGGTTATTAAACAGTGGTATCTCTCTCAAACAGAATAATGGCAATATTACCAGTTTCCTTATAAGGAAGCATTTGCCATTCGTTGACAAAGCAGCCATTGGTTGAAACATATAAAAAATCTTTTTCTTAAAACAATTTTTCAGGAAAACAGGTTTCTCAAGTTCAGTATCAGTTATCACTTTTTCCAGTACTGATGGAGGTTTCCTTCCTAACCTTTTATTGAAAGTAGTGTGGAATGTCAGCATCTTCATTATGTTATTATTTTCTCTTTGAGTTACACATGGTATCCATTTTAGTTGTTGCTGCTGTTGAAAATACTCAAGTGACATTTCTGTTATTTTGGTACAGTTCTTTCTTTGTGATTCTGTAGCACCAGTTTGCAAGGTTGAAAGAAAGACAGTACTCTCTAAGACCTACCAACTCACTACCTATTTACTCAAACTATATTTAATCATTGATCTTAGAAAGCGATTGTATACAGCTAACAGTTTAGATATTTCTGAATGTGTTTGTCATCATGCATGAATCATTCTCTAGCTCAAAATTTCCCTTTATATTCATCAATAGCTTATCGCCATATCACATTGAAACACCAGTTCTTGTCTGATCACCAAAGTTAAGCAACATTTATCCTGGTCAGTATCTAGATGAGTGACTGCTTGGATTCTATATGACAGAAGTCCTAAGTTATGTAGTTTAACCCTTACTTTCAAAACCACTTGCAATCACTGTAAGAGAGTTTTGATAAGTTCAAAGTGCAGTTATGCACAAATTGTCCAGGCCAAGGTTGAACAGAAACAAATTGGATCTCGCAAATTCTGGAAGATCACCAACTAAATTATGAACAGAGGCAAAGCGGCTGTGCTCACTATTATAAATGGCCCTGAGGTCAACAGACAAGACAAAGCTCTTCACCTTGATCTTTGCTTCCAACTCAACATTAGATGAGAAAGGCCATCCCCTCCCCAACTTCCCATGTCTCACTGAGCACAATCTCAGTAATATACTTATTTCAGCAAGAGAAGTCTCTAGACTTACAAAAACCTTGACTGCAAAAAAAGGAACTAACCCAGACAAAATTCAGTGGATGTCCTTAAGAATCTCTGAAGGTAGTTATTAGCAGCCAATCCTGCAATGCCCAGGTGGTCAACACAGGCATCTCATAGGGGTCACTTCTCAGACCAGTCCACTTTCTGATTTACATAAATGCTCTACCTAATTTGTAAACATCTGTGCCAACTGATACGACAATATAGGGGTGCACCTCTAAAACTTTTGATGATCAGAGATTGGCAACTGGCCTCTCTTCCAATTTAACACTAACTTCCCAGTGAGGAAAAAAACTGGCTGGTTACATTCAATGCCTCTAACACTAAACTAGTTACATTCCATCAGTGCTGATCAGACCCTGAACTACTGCCGGTCTTGATGAACAGATGTCCCCTTGAGGAGGCCCTGTGTCTTGAGAGAATATTGAACCTGAAACTCACACCCAACCTCAAGTGGAACTCCTATATCCAGTCCGTCTCTAAAGATGCAGGTAAAATGATCAGCTCCCTGTGCCGCTCCAGTATGTACCTGACTCCTCATGCTATCCTCTACCTTTATAAGAGCCAGATGATGCCAAAAATGTAGTACTGTTGCCATATTTGGGTGGGAACTGCCCAGATCTCACTTTCCAGTTGTGATAGAGTTCCAAACCATTTCCAAGTCCTTGTTGGAGAGAAGTAAGTTTCACTCAAACAGCTTCTTCCCGTAAACCACTGCCCTATGGAACAAACTCCCAAGAGGATTTTTCCCTGATCACTACAATCTTAACCTGTTCAAGTCTAAATTCAACCATTATCTTCCCCTCCTATCCATATAAATTACTCCTTAACGTAGCCCTCGAACTCAAGTGGCCCCTGGACCTTGTACAAGGTGAACCTTACAGTAAAAAAAAAAAAATGTGCAGGTTGTATGATTGATAACTTTTTATATATTTTAAACCAGACAATTCAGCTACTATTTTTATTCATACAGAATATTTTTCATATTTGCAGGAGCTTGCCCCCCAAAACAGGACGTCTGAAGACAGGGTTTCGTCCTGTAGGAACATGTGAGTATTTCAATATTCAAATTTTAAAAAATATAGGATCTTATATTCTGGAAATGAGACACTATTGCAATTCTGGTTTTTATTTCTTTACTTTCCTACTAATTCTCTCATCTTTGGTAATCATTTTTATTGGAACTCACTACAATAACATTAACAGAAATGAGGTTTTTCTTTCTTAGGAAAAATATTGTTTTTTTTTTCCATTTCATTTAAAACTGCAAAGCTATCTCATCTCAACTGAAGTGAATTTTTATTCTATTTTAAAGAAGAGTAAAGATAAGAAATTCAGTTTAAAACATTCTGTGAATTATAAATTCTGTTGTTTACATGTTTTTGACTGAACCTACTCTTAGATTTCTCCAAGATTTTGAAAGAACAAAAATATAATTGAAGAAGTTCCTTCCCAATGGAATTCACTGTATTTAGTCTGTATACATATCTGCAAACCAAATTCTAGTATAAAACTGAACATAAATTAATTTGTTAACAATCATAGGAAGATTGGAATCTACTTACCACATTTAGCAGTATCTTGTAAAAATTCAAGTTAAAAAATTAAAAAATTTTCTTTTTTAATTACACCAAGTTTTAAAAAAAAAAAAGGAAGATTTTTTTACAACAAATATTCTCTTTTGTGAAGTTCTTGAGAATGAAAAATAATGGGGTTGTTCTTCATCCAGATCATAAATTCATAAAAGAATAAAACTACAGACTGACCATTATTAATCTGGTATTATTAGGACCTGTAGAGTGTTGGATAAGTGATTTTACTGGATTACTGGTGGTTACATTAAATTGTACTTAAAATATACGCAATATATGTTGGCTAATAAAAATAAAAAAAAGTGAAAATCAATTAAAATTGTAATGAAACAAAAGCAAAATGGATGACATTTAATGTTTGTGCATATGATTCTTTGTAAGTAGATTGTCCAGCATTCACTGGCATATAGGAAGACTGATAATGCTTAACAGTTCTGTACTCTTTTCTTTGTTTCCAATGAAATTTTCCTGTTTCTTAATACTTTGCGTAATTTTTGAAAGAAGAAAAATTATATGAAGACAACATATATAGTATTTATGCTTCGCGCTACAAGAAATACTTCCTGTATTCATTGGAGACATAACTTGGGCTAAACATGAGACGGTTATTGTAAAACTGCACAAAAGACGAGTAGAAATGTCTTAGCAGTGTTTGAAAATGCTCAGAAACAGCTGAGGCTGTGATTAGTGCCACCAAACAGTAGTGGCAGATTCATATAGAGCAGCGTTTCTCAACCTTTTTACCCTTGTACCACCCTTGAAATTGTTTTTTGTCTCAAGGATAAAATTATTATATACCATTATTAATATGTATCTCTTATATTTCTATAGTAGTTCACATAGTAAATATATTTTATCCAGATAACTGGTTTAAGGAATAAAATCACCCCTTTTTGTCAAATTTATTGGCAATGCAAAATTAAAAATATTATATTGTGCATTTATGAGACCTCACACAGGTTTTTAATTACAAAAAAAAAATTGTAAACACAAAAAATAAACATAAATAAATGATATAACATACATATAACATATTAACAGAACAATAGTAGATAAATATTACAATAGCTTATTGTTTATTATAAATGTCATTATGAGTATTTAAATAATATGTGGTTGAAGTCTTTATTATAATAAACAAGGATTTTGCAACAATATGCCTTACATATATAGTAAATTCCAAATATAAAATTAAACAAAAATTACTCAAAAATGCATTAACCTATTTATCACTGTTTCTTGCAGAACACTTAGCAATTAGTGCCAGATTACAGTTTGAAGCAGATTACCAATTGCTGGATCGGTAATGGTCGTCCTGTACAAGTTAAACATTTCTATGAACTTTGTTAATTAAATTTAAATAACTAATTTCCTTTTCACTTTTTGTTCCACTATATTTCAGCTTCTGGACGTCAACCTGGGACTGCTAGCAGACTTGCAACAGCAATGGTATGTTCAAGGTTTTCTTTATTCCTATAGATTTGATCAATCATTTTTATGCTACCCATTGCTAAAAAACATTTTCAAAAGTTTATCTTTCAGGAATTAAAAAGTATATTTCACTTAATACGGACAATCTGGACTCACAGAAATTTCATCATTGTCCTATTGTCTTTAAATTTAATGTGCATTCATTATATATCGATTCAGTCATATACTGCATATTGCATTGTTTTCTCTGTCTTCTTTTGTCTCCATTTAAAAATAGTCTTTAAATCATGTGATTTCTTGTTTCAATTCTTTGTCTTTTATATAGACTGCATAACCATTTCATGCCTAACCATATTATTTTCCTTCAAGTTACCTCACTTAGTTAAAATATGTCAACTCACTTTCTTTCAGCAATTTAAGTATAATTAATTATTATTAAGTATTTCATTTGAAGGACAAAAGTAGTTGTTATTATGTGTAAGCAAGAAAAGTGTATCAAATCTCTGTAAGTGTCTGAAAGAAATTTATTATCATTTTAGTCAAATGAAGTCATTCTCATATGAATGATGATGAACCTTAATATAAGGGGTGACTTCAAAAAGTATCCAATCTTTTGGCATAAAAAATCAATTTTGTACAATTCATAAATTTTACTTCATCACCTTCAAAATACTCTCTTTCAGAGTTCACACACTTCTCCCAGTGATTCTGCTACTGTTGGTAACACCTCTGGAACACTATAGAACTCTGTTATTGCTTTTCTTGTAATTTCCTCTCGCAACTCAGATTTCTTCCCTTTCAGTGTGGGTTTTCAGACTGGGAAAGAGTCAGAAGTTATATGGTACCAAGTCAGGAGAGTAATGAGGCTGACAAACAAGTGGTATGTTGTTCTTGACCAGCAAAGTTTGGATTATGTGAGTGGAAGGAGTAGATGCTTTGTTGTGCTTAAGTTGCCAATTCTATGCCACCCACAGTATTACAAAGACAATGTATAACCTCCAGGTTGTATTCCTTATTGATTGTTTGGCCTTGTGGTGTATATTCATGGTGCACAATACTATGAGTGTCAAAGAAACAGGTCAACATTACATTCACATTGCTTTAATCCTGTTGTGCTTTTAGGGTCCTTGCTGATGAGGGGTGCTTCCATTGGTAAAGACTGAAACTTGGTTTCTGGGATATAACCATAAACCCTTGTCTCATCACCAGTAATGATGGCCTTCATGAAGTCTCGGTCATGATGGTTTGCACAGTCCAGCAAGTCCTGAGCAATTTCCATTTGGAGTTGCTTCTGCTGCTCCATAGTATCTTGGGGACAAATTTCACTGACACTCTCTGTATGTACAATCCTCCATTAAAATGAAATGCACTGAAGCTGTGCTTCTTCCCATTTTATGAGCAATTTCCTGGATTGTTACACAACAATCTTTCATGACTATTCTCCAAATCTTCTCAATTGGCACCTTGTTTCAGCTTATGGATGTCCTGCTTGAGCATGCCTCACCTTCCACTGAGGTGCAGCTATGTTTGAGGTGGTTGTAAAAATCCTTGATCTGATTTTTGCCCATAGCATCATAGCCAAAGGCATTTTGAATCTTCTGGTTAGTTTGAACTTGAGTAATTCCAAGCTTTTGGTAAAACTTGATGCAATGCGTTCAGTCATCTTGCATGAAAACGAAAATCCACCAAGCACGCAATACACGTGTACTCTCGGTTTGACAGCTAGGAAATGACATGGCCTACCAACGTGAAAATTTTAACGCATACACAGGTAGGGTGACATCACTTCCCACCTATAGAATTTTGCCCATGCTGCCTTAGTTTTGCTGTGAGAGAAAATAAAGTCTGATACTTTTTGAATGCAACATATACTATTCAAAAATGTAATGAAGTGAAAAATTAAATATACATTATATCCATGATACATGTAATTTTCTTCTAAATAATTGTTAAGAGTGTAACATATGCAAACAAAGGAACAAGCAGAATTATGAGGTAGATTTTAAATTTGCAAAATTATTTTTCCCTCGGATATGCTTGCTTACTATAGAATAACTGTAGAAGCAAGCTGAGATATAAAAACTCATAGGACTTAATCTTACAAATGTAGGTGGTCTTGCTCCATGGTGTCCAGAGCAGTATATCACTCATGAGTTCTTGATTTGCTTGCCAGCAGTGTCTTTCAAAGCACATTCTGTATTCATATAAGATTGTAGAAATATCATGGATGGGTCCATAGAGCTGTGATTTAGTTGGATGTTGTCTCCAAGAGATGTTAATTATAGCTCTTAGCATCCGAGTGTAGGTTTCATCAAGTTTAGACTCTAGGGTTTTAGTTAATGTACACGCATTGGCACCATACATTAACACCACCTCTACAATGACTCAAAAGAATCTCTGTTTGAGTGTGTCTGGTAGATCAAATTTCCAGATTACATCTATTTTATTCAAGGCAGTCCAGGCTTTATCTATTCATATTTTCACATCCTTTTCAGTAGAATTTATTTTGTTTCCTAGGTATATAGGTTGATCACCCAGCCACCACCTACATTGACCAGCTAAGTTAGGACAGAGAATGCCACCCTAATGACCTTCCAACTTTGATGCAGGACTGTGGTGGTTGGTGTGATAAATATGTCTGAGCTCGCTCAACCAAATAATAATAAAAATAAAAAAAATCTTACAAAAAAATAAATACACTAGATAAGGATGGCAACTAGGTTTCACTGTTTTACTGTTTAAATAGCTAAATGCAACCACCACTTCTACTCCAACAGGTTTTTTTCTCACACTTCCCACTTGTGGAACTCCCTTCTGTTTCCTTGCTTCCTTGATGACTACAATCTTCAAAAATTTAAATGGAATGTCAATTGCCATCTTGTCTTCTTGAATTCTGTTCATTTTTTGTCCTCTCCTCAACCCTCCTTGTTCTCAGTCTTCTCTTTCATGCTCACTGTTTAACCCTCTATATATTAGTGGCATTACCATCTTGCTTGGGGTGAAATGATTAAAAAAAATGCATATGTAGATATGATTTTCTTATATAATACTGAAAGCCAAAACAGTATTTGTAAATTAACTTTATATTTGATTGTGAAGAGAAATTAAAACAAATTTCAAGTGAATATGTCTCTTCCTTAGGGTCAAATCATCTTGAAAGTGACAATTCTTGTTCACTACTGTGTGAAGAATGAAATACAAATGAGGTTTATTTTTCAATATAGTCTCCTTTGCAGTCCACACACTTCTTCCACAAGTATTGCGGTGCTTGGATCCCATTGGTGAAGAAGCTTTCATTCTCTTCATTAAAAGAGTCATCAGCAGGAGATATGATGTCATCATCACTGTGATACTAGTTCCCAGCAAGGTGTTTTTTCATGTTGGAGAATAGATGATAGTTAAATCAAGAGAATAGGGAAGGTGATCAACAAGGTAAAATCCACTGTCACACACAGCAGCCATTGAAATCAAGAACTTATGTGCTAGTGCATAGTCCTGATGAAACAAGTGCCTGTCGGAGTTAACTCCTCCTTAATTTCATAATTGTCCAAACTGTTCCTAAGGGACACTCTCCCAAAACTATATATACTTGACAAGACTCTGTCTTGTCTTCTTCCACTTTTCATTTTCAGTGGACATTACGACAATGTAATCTTTCTTGAAGATTGCATTTCCCACTTTGATCGCTATGTGGGAAACGCCATGAAACATACATGCACACAAACACACACACACATACATACAAACATTCACTCATGCATACATTGACCACAGACTTTCTACATTCATTTATACACACTCATTATCATATTCTTCAATTGTAACCCTTACTGTTTGTTAATACATATTTACCGGTTTGTACATATATATGGCAGTCTTTGTTATTTTCTTCACATTTTCTTTTACGTTTCTTTTGGATAGACTCATTCCAAGTCTGCCATATTTGTTGTGGGCCCTATTTCAGGAGGTACACATGTTCACCTTACAATGAGTACAAACAAGCCCTTTCATTAGTTTTCCTGGATATTTGGTCTTGATAGCCTTTCATAACAGCTTCAGAAATTTGGCATAGTACTCTCCATTGATGGTGTAGCTCTTTTGAAAATAATCAATAAATACAATGCTTTTTGCATCCAAAAAAACTGAGACCAGGTCATTACTTTTGCTGCAGATGAAACGACTTTGGTCTTCTTTGGAGAAGGTGAGGAGGAGTGTTTCTACTGCATGGTTTGTCATTTTGTCTCTGGCTCAAAGGCGTGAACTGAATCTGCCTTAAACAATGATCTGATCAGCCTGGTGTGCTTTTGATCAGGTGTTAGAAGACATGGCACCCACTGGGCAGAAACTTTCATAATGCTAAATTCGTTACGCACAATATTCTCAACTCTCTCATGGGATATGGTAATCACATTGGCTATTTGATTTATAGTCAGTTGCCTGGCATATGGTGAACACAGTCAATGTTTTCCTCAGTGATGGCAGTCACAGGACCTCTAATCCTTGGGTGATCTTCAAGACTCTCCCTCCCCCAACTAAATTCAACTGCCCACTTTTGCACTGTTGATAAAGCTAGAGTGTTAACCCCTATTTTAACATCTATGTTACCATGAATGTCCTTCGGGGCTAAACACTTTTTCTTCAACTACTTGATAACTTCACAAATCCAATTTTTTTTTTTCATTTTCAAGAAAAGTCGCTGCTAATTATTTTTGAAATCGTCTTTAAACAGTCATTTTATATGGAAAGAAACAATGTAATTATTAATAAGAGTTGAAATTAATGCATGCAAGATTTCACTGCTCTAGCATCACTCCTTCATAGTCAGCCTATGAACTTATTAGCCAACTCTCATTTTGTTGTATGGTATTGAACATCAATTTATCCAATTTATTTATTGCTATTTATTATTTTTCCAATACATTTTTGGTTTTATAAATTTCTCTTTCTTTTAAGCAAAATTTATTAAGAGTGAAAAAGGACAGGAAATTATGTAAAGCCATTATTGTTGACATCCAGAA